CGTATTTGTAATTATTTTCACTTTCCGGGCCCTTATTTGTAAATTCCCCTAAAATTTATCATTTAGTCTTAAGTTGCATCATTAGTCATAAGTTGCGTCATGCGTCATAAGTTGCGACATGCGTCATTTCGTCAATTCGAAGTTGCCTGACGAAATGGTTTCGTCGTGCGTCAATGACGCAAGTTGCGTCATGCGTCACCCATCATTAGTTGTGAGCGTGGGAACTGATCCGGGATCGCGAAATATAGGTCTCACGGACGTCAGCAAATACTAAAACTAATCTAAACAATACTCTAAAACCACTAAACTCTATCTAAACCCTAATATGGCAGACTACGATCGAGACGTGGTCCGAGTTATTAGGGTCAAATAGAGCCCTAGATTACGTCACGAGTAGAGATTGGAAAAATGCGCATTTTATAATAACATGCACATGATATCGCATCATATAATTTTTGGCATTGGTGTGCTCTAGTTTACATGTATAAAACACAGCCCAATCTAGAATAAGCTGTTATCTTTTTGATTTTATATTTTCCCTCCAGAAAATATCAGATATTTGTCAAAAAATTTTCCCGCCCTTCTCATCTTTATGCTTATTCATTTTTTTCGGAATTTTTAAAAACTTCTACATTCCTATTTCTTAATTTTGCCTGGAATTATACACCTTGGCCTAAATTAAATATACTTAGATGGGATAAAATGCGCATGAAACACATCTCTAGTCACGAGACTCTAATTCGGGGTTACGGGTTTAAACTACTGACTTTATGCGAATTTGACTTATTGGAGCAAAGCTTTAAAGTCTAAATAATAGACTCTTATTGAGTCGAACTCTAATGAGTTCTATAAACTCTAACTGAGTTCTCTTTTATTTAAGCGAAAAGAGAGGTCTTAAATACTTTAGACCAATGCTGCGTACATAATTGCTGTGTTCACTACTTTACCATATTCTTTATGTATAAAATATACTACAGTACTAATTGTTCAAATTTAATGGAGGTGGAGGCATCGTACAAAATTGTATGAACGAACGACTTCATACAAAACTGCATGAACGACTTTGTACAAAATTGTATGAACGACTTCGTTCAAATTTGTACGAAATAACTATGCCACATGCCAGTAAATATGTTGTGAAAGGCTTAGAATAAATTTTTCTGTAAATAGCATATTTGGTAAATGTGGCGCATTTATTGTTTATTTCGTACAATATTTATAGTTGTTAGACGAAACCTCTGACTAAAGTCGAAACCCAATTTCCCAAATGCTTCTGATGAAACCTAAAGCTTAAAGTGACGAAACCTACACTCAGGAAGACGAAACTCTAGTGCTCCCGCTAAAAAAAAAAATCGTTTGTTATTAACCAGTATCTGAAATTAGTTTATTTTTTATAGACAACGATATGGTTGATATAGACCGGTTGAAATAAACTTGTCAAAAAGCCATAGTTCTCATGGAATAACACAAATACTCTCTGGCATAAAATAAATTTGTAATATCATAAAGTAAGCACCAAGCGATTTCTCACTAGAACTGATATATAATATAATACTCATTTCTAACTCTTTTTAAGCGATTCAAGTGATTATTACACAATGTAATTTTTATTAATTTCTGTTTTTGTTAATCCACAAATTATTCAATGAGTTTCAACACCATTTATTTGTTTATTCGTCTTTATTGGTTTTGTCACCATTTGCAGTTTTTTCAGTTTCGTATCATCACCTTTCGTCAGTTTCGTCATTTCGTCATTTAAGATTTTAATTTACGAAAGACGGAAGCTAGTTTTCGCGCAAAACCTGAGGTTTCGTCTAACCACTATATACAATATCATTCACAGTCGTTCAAATTCGTACAATTAGTATATTTAATACATAGAGACATAGTAAAATTAGTAAAAAATAGCGAACACAGCTATAATGTACGCAGTAATGGTCTAAAAATATATGAACCTACATTTTTACTTCAATAAAGAAGGAACTCAGACAGAGTTGGTTGAGTTCAGTTCTAGGTAAAACTCGGTAGAGTTCAAAACACTCCTCTGTATAAATATTTAGCTCAATTCCCCGATAGTATAGTGAATTAATAGTATATGCCTCTTTCGTAGCATGTCACAATTAGGGTCCAGTGTATTATTAGCTGTTGTAGTCTTTTTGATAGTGTTAATGATTGTTGATATCCGTGAGCAGTGCAGTGTTCTCATGAGAACATACTTTTAGATTTGAGACCATTTAATATTATGTAAATGTTCTCTATGAAAAAAAATTTGTAGCATAATACAAATGCTAGATGGAAATAAGGACAAAGCTATTTGGTTTATTGTTACCAATTCGGTATAGGCATTAAAAGAAGGCATTTGAATTATATTCTAAATCTGCTGAAAATGATAGTCGAATGTGCATAAAAGATGAAAAGGGTTGGGACAAAAATTTGAATAAATGTCGATATTTTCCGAAATAAGAAATTCAAAAAAGGGATATGAATAAATTTTACTGATAAGAAGTAACATTAAATTAAATAAATAAGTTCGCATGAGAACATAAAGATCTCCAACACTGTCAATGAGACCTATATTTTGTGATTCCGAATTAGTTTCTACCTTTACAACGTAGGGCGTGCAAGTAATCTAGAAACCACAATTATACCTAATATAGACAATTTGTAATCCTAAATCATTAACATCAATAAAGTGTGTGTATGTAAATATTTTCTTGAATCGATAATTTAAGAAATATAAAGTTTAATGTGTTACTTGATTATCTGCTTGGCATAATTTTATCTGATAATCAAGTTACACATCAAATTAATTATCGACTTATGTATTTAATTTCACTGTTTTTTATATTGTCTCTATAAAGTGTAATTGTGGCTTTTAGATTTCTTGCATCGTACGTACGTATGCATGTTGCCCTATAAAAAAAGTTTGTACTGTATTGTAGGCATTGTCCAAAAAAAAAAATGGTCGGAAAGTAATTGATTTTCCGAACAGGGTTTATATTTGTACTGTTTTCATAACAGATAACGACGTTTGTACGGACGTAAAAAATAGGAAATTTTTGATCGCACAAAAAACGCATTCATCCAATAAACATCCTTTAAATGTTCGAAATGGAGTCGATTTTTCGAACAAAAAATCGATTTTTTTTTATAGAGTTGAAGAAGTCGCGTAACTGTTATTGTTTGGAAGGTAAGAACCTATCGGAGTAAGTGAAAGGGAAAAGGAGCTTTGAATGGTGTTTGCCTTAAATTATGTTTATGTATGTCATCCGGATTCTCTTTAAAATGGAATGCATTATTTATCACCTTGACTACATTATATATTACTCACTATTCTAACCTTGTGTATAGCTTATTCGTTTCTTATCTTTACCATCCTGAGTTGACGTAACATCTATTGACCCGGACGTTCTCGTTAGAATAACTTATTTTTAATTACTATTTGTGTTCCATTGATATGAATGTTTTTAAATTTTATATATACGGAATAGAATATCCGTATTGAATCACAGATTAAAGCGGGCTCTGTATAAATTTGATGCCATTTCGCCTTTAATCAAGAACCTTTAATTAATTTTATTCATAGAAAAAAGTTGGCACAAAGTTTGGTGCATATTACGCTTTACTTTATATTAGCTATATAAATGTCTAACGAAGAAATCTTTCAAAATTTTTACAGTAATCCATTTGTGGATTATGCTGCAACCTTTACTCAAGATCAAGCCAATGCAAATTTACTAGACATCCATAATGCTTCATATATGGGATGTTTCGAAAGTCACGCTTATAATCATGGATATCCAATGGATTATCTATATAAAGAATGGTCTGCAGGCTTTATCCAAGACTGTAACGATCAAAGTAACGAGTTGAAATGGAGTACAGGAATTACTCAAGAATATGAGAATAAAATTCATACATCAGATAAAAAAAATGAAAATCCAGAGTCACTTGTATCTAGACGTAAACAAAATCCAAAGTGCAAAAAGTGTAATATAAGAAAAGGTCATTATGATGATAATTCCAGTCAATGTAAAGATTGTTATCGGGCCTCATTTCGAATCTTAAGTGGTAATAAATTGATAGATGACTTTATTGAATCAACACAAACTTTTTATATAATCCGTTGTAATTATTCAAAATTAGAATTTATTCCATATAAACAATTTACTAATATAAAATACCTTGCTAAAGGAGGGTTTAGTATAATATACAAAGCAACATGGATTGATGGTCCTATTAGTCGTTGGTGTCCTGGGAAGCGAAGATATAGTCGAAAAGGAAATTATGATGTTGTACTTAAAAGTCTTAATAATTCAGAGCAAATGGATTCTAATTTTTTAAATGAGGTATGTATGTATATTCAATATCACTGAATATGTACAAGGTTCAACCAATCAGACCACATAAAATAAGACACCATATTGTTTCTAATGCTGGTAAAACAACGATAGAGATTTGCTACTATCAGAAACATACAGTACCCGTTATAAGGCTTCTAAATTTTATTCTACATTTATATTTATTGGATTTTGCTATTGTCAATTTTTATTTAGCGTTTTAAATACTATATTATGCATAAAACTTTAAAGAACTAAATTTTTACAATGTAAAATCCAATAAGCAATATAAAAAGCTGAATAAGTGAATGTGTGAAAAAAAACTATATTAATATGATTGAAAACCCGTCTTTTTTTATTTTAGTTGAAAAATTTTTTTCAATGTAGAAAAAAGAATATCTTTAATGAAATGTTTCTCCATCAATATCTTGGCATTACACAACATCCTGAAAAAAAGAATTATATGATGGTTATAGAATTTGCGCAGAATGGAGACTTACATCATTATTTAAATAAAAATATGAATACTTTATCTTTGCTAGAAAAATTAAATATATTACATAAAATAGCAAGTGGGCTTGAAAACATACACAAATATAAAGTTATTCATCGTGATCTTCATAGTGGCAATATTCTTATCAACATGATAGGTAAACCAGCTATTGCAGATTTAGGAATAAGTAAACCAATGAATACATCTTCAGATAAAAATGCAATCTATGGTGTTATTCCGTACGTTGCACCAGAGGTATTACAGGGAGGGGAATTCACTCAAGCTTCAGATATATACAGTTTTGGTATGATTGTTTGGGAGATAATGAGTGGTCATAGACCGTTTTCTGATCGTAAACATAATGAGTATCTTATTCTGGATATTATAAATGGCCTTCGCCCGAAAATTCCAACTAACACCCCTCAAGATTTGATCGAATTAATGGAAATATGTTGGAATTCTGATCAAAGAAAAAGATCTCTAGGGAGCAGGAATCTAGCAACAGGTTTGAAAATTAAGATTGAAAACATTGTTAGTAAGATAGAAAGAGGAGAAGTAAAATTTCCGGAGAATAAAGATACGTGTATTTCACAAACTGAAATAAGCGAACAAGCAATTTATTCTAGCCGACTATTAAACCCATTAATTAGTGAAGCATTGACAATACAAAGTATGAAATTAAAAAGCAGCGCAATTATGGGTATGAGTTATGTCGTATTTAATTATGCATGTTTTTTGTTTAAAGTATTAATCGAGTTAATAACAATAAATATTATTCAATATTTTATAAAATAGGAAATGATTCTAGGGCAATTGATTTTGACATAAACAAACTATAGGCAAAAATTCGACTCCGACTATAAATGCATTTTGAATATAAAAATAGAAATTGTCTCAATGCTTAATTATTTACGTAAATTTCGTATTGTTATTTGTAATTTTCAATAAAACTTAACTAGTTACATAGCTTTCATATTGTTGATTGTAATTTTTAATAAAAGCTTACAGTAAATAGATTTTGTGTAATAAATAAATCATAGTTAAAATATATAAAATAAAAATTTTTTTATCCAAAATTTTTTTTGGCGAAACTATGAATACATTCAAAGATATCACCAATAAACTGATTCGTAATAAATTATGCATCAATTCAAATTAGTGATTATAATAATCAGTCTGAAGATGTTTTTACTTCAAAATTACCCAAAAAGCATCATGGCAGAAATACATTAATATTGGTGATTATTTCGAAGATGATTATTATGGGGTTAGTTGTAAGCATTGCCCTTATAATTGGGCACATGCAAAATTACAATTACTCAAGCAACATTTGGCTTGTAAATGTTCAAATATTCACAGGAAATTAAAAAGATTAATAAGATAGTCTAGTAGTAGAGAAAATATCTGCAAAAAGACAATATAGAACAAAAATATTAAATAATTTAATTTAAAAGTAATATCAGAAAACAAATAATAAAAAATTGATGGATCTGTTTAATATTTTAGTATATACAGAATTCTCTCAAAATTATAGATAATCTATTCATAATTAATATGTTTAAATAGAAATAGCATGGTATGATATTGAACATTTGGATAACATTTAAATAATTTAATTAGACATAGTAAATTTTTTTATTGAATATATAAAATAATTTAACATTGAACTAAATTAAACTTAATTTGAGCCAACATTTACTAATACAAAATATCTCAGTTCAGCTTAGATTCAATGAACCTGAATCTAAACTTGAAAAAATTTTGAACTTGAACTAAACATGAACTTAAAATATTTGAACATGAATCTGAACCTGAACTTAAAATAAGTTTATGAACATGTTCAGATTTAGTGACAAAACATAGTAAATAGTAAAGATATGTTTATTAAATATTTTTTTATTATCTTTGAAATTTCCGAATTTGGAGTTTTTCAAAAACAAAACAATATGAAAAATAACATTTTAGTTAGATGGTTTTAAAATTCTCACAATAGTTTTTAAAACCCTTGTAGTGGTGAAGACTCTGTTTGGTCTGTTAGTAATTTTTAAAATTCTTATAGCAGAGCGAAGACTATAATTTGTCAGAATATTTTTAAAATCTTCATACTATATTTAAATCATTAATTTTTAAAATTCTTATAGCTGTTGAAAAACTTTATTTGATCGGGTCATTTTAAAGTTTTTATAGTTGGAAGAAGACTAAATTAGTCGAAATTAAAGTTCTTATAACTGGGTGAAGACTATATTCAGTCAGATAATTTTTAAAACTTTCATAACTGGCAAAGACTGTATTTGATATTTTTAAAATTTCTCATAACTGAAAGATTTTTAAAGTTTTAATTGTTGGACGAAGAATGAATGGAACTGGGTAACATTTTTAAAGTTCTTATGCTCTTGAATTCAAATTCGGGCCTGTTTTTTTTTTCTTGTAAGGTTAAAGTTTTAAATAAATAATTAAATAAATACGTTTATATAAAATAGTTCATCGAATTGGTTCTACATTTCAGAGATGCTTTTTTTTTTTATCGAAACTGATCTACAGGTTGTTTTTTTCATGTTTGCAACAAAAGTCAATAGTAAAGCTGCTGCTCGATATTTAAAGGAGAAAAATTAAAGTTGGAATAAGTGAGAAAAATTTTTACAAACAACTGAAAAAAAATTACTGAAATAGCAAAATAAAAAAGGTTTAAATTATTAGTAAAAGTGGCTGTTACGTCAGACCCGTACGATGATAGAGTTATTATATGGGTATCTGGGTGTAACTAATTTCACACATAAACCCGTGAGTAATTAGTAACACCCAGATATCCATACAATAACTATAACTTCTAGCTTTTACCAATATGGCAACAAGTTCAACTACGTCTTTGAAAAAAAAATAAAACAAAAAATATTATTAATTAAAATATTTCTTAATAAATATGCGAATAACACCTCTTTGTATTCAACAGCAACTTTATTTACAACTAATGGTTTCATAAAAAATGGAGAGGCGGGATATTGTTGTTGGAACATAATTGGTTCAATAAACGGAGCAACAGGGGCTGCTGATGTTGATGCTTCACCAGAATATTTTCGATAGTTCACAGCATTTGCTTCTTGTTTAACGGTTGGTTTTGTTTTTCTATTTTTTATTTTTGACGAATAATAAAAGAACCGCTCAAATATTGATTGCAATGTTTATTTAATTGATTATATTAAATGAGTACCATTACGATCACTAATTAATCACATCGAAGATGATGCTTGAAAAAATTTCAATTACATCATAAATTACATATTCGAATTCTCAATAAAAATTTTATATAATTATAATTTCGCTTGAATGCCATTGTGATTACTTGCTAATCACATCAGAATGACGCTTGAGAACACCCTAAATTTGATCGAATAGCTATTAAGAAATCTTCATTGGAAATTCATAATTTTAAAAAAGATTTTGATTGGAAATCTGTAGCCCGTGATTTTCTTAACATAAGGATACCGCATTAAGCGATCCCCAAATTTAGCTGAGTAACAGATTAAAATTTTAAGTGTGTCGTTTTATTGCTAGTCTTTTGTACGTACGTCGTACGTACGTTATGTAGGACTATAAAAACCGACAAATGAGAGCTGCACAGGGAAAACCTGTAAGTAAAATTTAATTCGTTAAAAATATTGTATGATTTTGACCAATCAAATTTCAAGATCAGCCTGATCTTGAAATTTGATTGGTCAAAATCATACAATATTTTTAACGAATTAAATTTTACTTACAGGTTTTCCCTGTGCAGCTCTCAAATGATGTAAATGGTTGTCAGTCACAAGCAATGCATGCATGCAATAGTCGTACATACACATCGGTGACACCAGTTGCAGCATTTACGTACATATTAATACGTATGTATTTGTCTAGAGTAAGAAAAGTTCTTTATTCTTGAATCAAAACCATACCAATGAGTACATGTAAGCTGCTGTATACCAATATTTATTTGCATAGTTCATGAGCAAAATACTTATTACGCTTACGCTTTAAATACTAGTAATCGAATATTCAAAAAAATTAGAGACAAGTTTAACAAATCGCAATATAAAAAATTTCGACTATTCACAATGTAGTGACATCCAAAAAATCGGGTGTGGGGGATATGCTTTTGTGTATTCTGCCATCTTTGAAGGGCAAATATACGCAATAAAAAGTTTAAAAAATAATTTGAATTATGATGATGAATTATTCAGACAATTTAAAAAGGAGGTAAAATATATTATTCATTTTTATCTTTTAATGTTTTGATATTCATTTAATTACATGTATGTAGCTTAAACTTCTTTATGCGGTCGATCACCCAAACATTATAAAATTCTATGGCATTTCTAGAGGTATAAAATTTAAAAGAGTATATATGTACAATATACCTGGGCAATATTATTCTTAATTGATTTTTAAAATTTAGATGAAAAAACGAATAATTTTATGTTGGTATTGCAATACGCAAATGGCAGTAACCTGCGTGAACATCTAAATAAAAAACAAAAGGAAGGAGTTTATAAAATACTATGGACTGAGCTTATCAGGATTGCAATGGAAATTACACTTGGATTAATCCATTCACATAACCAAAATATAATTCATAGAGATCTAGTTAGTTTATTTATTTTTATTAACCGTCTTTAATTATGCACAAACTTAAATTTTTTACACAATTACTAGCATTCTATGAATATTTTTATGCACGATGACAGGGCTTTGATTACATAATTTGGCTTATCAAAACAATTGGATGGTTCCACTTCAAGCACTTCAAGCTCCAGTATAAAAGGCATAACGTCATATATTGAGCCACGATATTTTCTTAAGCGTGGGGAAAAATAAAACATGATGAAAAATCAGACATCTATAGCTTAGGTGTTTTGCTTTGGGAACTTACAAGTGGGATCCCTCCATTTAATGGATTTAATAATATAGAGATAATTTATAAAATTTCAATAATGAAAGAGAAGAAACTATTTCCAATACACCATTAAATTACGCCAATCTCTTTAAAAAATGCCGTTCTTCTGAACCAGAACAACATCCAATATTGAATGACATTTTATTTGAACTCGAGGAGTTATCGAAAGAAAAAACTATAGAATTTATTACAAATTTTGTTGAAGGTGACAAACAAACTGCACAGTTAACATCAAAAACTTCAACATTGTCAGGGAACTTGGCTTTTTCTTATGATAGTGGTCAACAGAGCATGTCTCTCTATTACATTCCTATACAATTTGACCATGCAAATATTTCAAAATGCTCAGGAAGCTTGGATTTTTTGAATGCAACTGCCCAACAAAGTATTCACCTCAAAAACATTTGTACGTTGCCTGAAAACAAAAATTCTTCTAAAGAACTTGCAAGAAGTATTAATGATGGATATATGAATTATATCTAGTGTTCGAAATTGGATTGAAAATCCCGGTTGATCTGGGATTGATCCGAATCCAATCCGAATCTGTAATACAGATTGATCCGTGCCAATCCGGGGCCAATTTGATGGTTAAACCAACCGATCTGAAACCAATCTGAAATACAGATTGATCTGGGCAATCTGTGGTTAATCCAAAATTTTTATGATAAAACCCAAAAAGGTAAAAATTATAAGTATGTATGTATGTACGTACATGTCTTATTATACATATAACGATAATAATATATAAATACATATTCTTTTATTATATACTAAAATATGTATATATACATATAAATATTAAAGCTTACTTAAACAAAGCGCTTTCAACATTAGTTTCTATGATACCCAATTTCTAGTGTGAATTGTGTTTATTGAGGCCGTTAGAGTATTCTGTAGGCTGGGTTACTGTTATGAATCAAGTTCAATTTAATATATTAATTCAGATCATTGGTATTATTTTGGTTTGCTTCTTTGACAATTTCAATTAGTCATTTCTCAAAAACTTACTCTTACCAAATTATTTACTAGATTATTAGATATTTAGAATCAGGTTTATTAGATTCATTTGGTTGCTAATACTATATAATAGGCTTGTGAGAAGTCTTTGGGTATTGTGAATCAGAACCTTCTATTGAATTCAACTAAGCATTTTCAAAATTTAAGGCCCATGATGATATTCAATTTCTTGTATAAATTGTATTTGCTGATGCCATTGGAGTATTCTATAGGCTGGGTTACTGTAATAAATTGAATTTAATTTAATCTATTAATTCAGGTCATTTGTATTATTTTAGTTTGCTTCTTTGACAATTTCAACTATGTATTTCTTCAAAACTTACTCTTACCAAATTATTCACTAGATCATTAGATATTTTGTATCAGGTTTATTTGCTTCATTCGGTTGCTAATACTATATAATAGGCTTGTGAGAAGTCTTTTTTTTTTTTTAATGTTAAAGGTGAGACCATGCTATTATCTTTATTAAACTTAATGAAAACTTTTTACATAATTGGAAAAGGTTTTATATTTTAAGTCTAGTGCTAAGAATA